ATTTCTAAATTCCTAATGCACATCTACACACAAAAAAATAAACTTCTCAGGGCAAGACTTCTTCTAAATGCACAAAGCAGCTGCTGTAATAGGGTAGAGCTCTTGCCTGTTGCCCCTGCTCGTCTGTGTAACAGGTGTATTTATCCTGCAGAATGAGGGGGAAAGAGAGACTCCATCACACCACAAAGAATCCACCCCATAACCTGGTCACCAGAAATGCCTAGAAAGAGCCACAGGAAATCTGGGAGGAGAGATCCAGTTGTTTTGCCACATGTAGCAGCTGCTTTCTAACCTTGCTCTATCTATCTATCTATCTATCTATCTATCTATCTATCTATCTATCTATCTATCTATCATCTATCTATCTATCTATCTATCTATCTGTCTATCTGTCTATCTATCTATCTATCTATCTCTATCATCTATCTATCTATCTATCTATCTATCTATCTATCTATCTATCTATCTATCTATCTATCTATCTATCTATCTATCCATCCATCCATCCATCCATCCATCCATCCATCCATCCATCTATTGATTTTTCAGACAATACAAAGCAATAATGAGATCTTGAAAGGTCAATGTACAACCTTCTCCCAGTAGATGCTTGCTGGATGAACAATGCTTGACAAACCCACGTTAACTGCCAACCAACCAACCAGTGTTTCATAGTCATCCTCAGCGTTTCCATAAAATAGCTGTGGCAGCTGTGTTTTCTTCCCAATGAAAAAACATTAATCCACATGTGATTGGGAAAACAGAGACCTGTTTCTCCATGAAACATGAAAGCATCCTAGTGTGTTCAATTTGACTTTTATCAGAAAGGAATATCACAAATCTAGAAGCAGCGAATAATTTATAAGCAAGGATATTTAAACCTACTTGAAATCCAGTTGAGATATCCCAAGAAAAAGTTCCTGTATTGTACAGGCAAAAGTCTCACTGGATCAGCATATCATCTAATTTTAGCCTGCTGACAAGTCAAGGGGGTCAGCAGTAACCCTAGGATTGCACCAACAGACTTACTTTGCAATTAGGATGAATCATGTAATTGCTTTCTTCCTCAGGTTCCTTGTTTGCACAGCAGAGGGAAATACAATACCTATCTTCAGATACAAAGTGGGGACAAACCTCATTTGGCATTCTGGTGATCCTCAAGTCAAAGAAGTGCTGAGTATGAATCAGCAAGCCTTTAGGGTTTCCATGAAGAGCTTGAAAGGGCTAAAAAGGGGAAAGGTCTCCATGAAGATTGTGCTGAAAACCAGGAAAACAGGCTGGAGCACTGCTTTTGAATGCTTAGCAAAGGATTAAGGTGCAGAACCTTTAACTTCCCTTAAAATAGATGAGACTTGGCCACTGCTGAGAGTCGATCTCAGAATCCCATGTATTAGGCCAGTGCTTTGATCAGCCTCTGCTAGAAGGAAGACCCATGCTGAAGGTTTCTGCATTGTGGGGAGTGATCTCTTCCTGACAGGTGATGCATGTGACAGGTGAGGTCCCTGTCTCCCAAAGCCAAAGGGTTCAGCTCTGGCTAGCAGGGACTTCAGAGGACTGAAATTATTACTCCAAGTTCAGCACTCCCACGTCCATGCCTCCTCTTTCTCCAGAGCCATGCTGCCCTGCTTTGCAGTTTGTGCTATTTGCAAGCCATACCAGAATTCCAGCCTGGGTTAGATGTTCTGATGTGCTTAATGAGACAGAAAAGGCACAAGTCATACACATAGGGGCAGGAAAACAGTGAAGATCTGGGTTATACACAAGAGAATTACACTGAAAACCATTTTTCTCAATGTCAGGAGGAGGTTAAGGGTATAAAAGGACAAAGAGAAGCTTTGCCAGTTGAGTTAGAACATCACTAGCTTTCCTGAATTTTAATTTCAGTGTCAAGCACTGTTCTGTTGCAGAAAGACTTCATGTAAAAAATTCTCTTTTTCTTAAGTAGGAATAGCGTACACATCAGGCTGATTTATCCAGCTAAGCAGAATTACATTTGAGAACTCAGCCAATTACAGAGCTCCGTTCAGCCTTCCTGTTACATGACAGTGAAAAATGCTTGTCTTGGAAACATCCTGCTTGTGCACATCCTGTGCTCTGGGCAGCATCAGTGTAACTCTGCCTGACGCTTGTTAAACTGGACTCTTCAATCCTAGTATCACTTTGTTTTGATGATGCTGGATAAACTTGCAGTTTGGGGCTTTTAAATATTTCCACCAGAAGAAAAAAGATGCTTTTTATGTGGCACCGAGTTATGCTTAGACATGTCTCATGACAACCTTTTCCTGACTCTAGAACAACCATCAGAATGGTTCTGAACTCATCAACCCAAGGAGAAATTTCAAGAGAAACTTTTTGTATTCCAGTGTAACACTCAAGATACCCAGCTGGAGAATAAGTTGTGGACTGACCAAATCACTGTTACTCTGAGGATGACATGTTTGTCGTTTGTATCTACTACAAAATAAGGATATCGAGAGATACATTAATATTTTATTGTTTAGCATAAAGCATGTTTATGCTAAATGTTTACTATTTTCCTTATTTTTCCACTCCTCTGAATCCACATAGTTGCATCAGAAACAAAAGGTAAATAAAACCTGGGCAGATCAAAAGGACTGATCAGAAACCCTGGGCTCAGTGTTTTCTTTGCAATGCACAACCTGAGAAGGACTGAACACAAAAGGGTGTCCTCTGAAATAAGGCTGGGATAAAGGTTAGCACAGTGAGGCTGGCAAAGAAACCCCAGTGCTGTGGGAGAAGGTGATCCTGAATGGGTTACAATTGACACAGAGCCTAAACCACTCACCACACAGAAACTAATAATTAATGGAGGAGTTCTGATCAACAAATGAGTGAACAAAGTTTTACTTTCAAAGGGGAAAAATGCTCAGGTGTAAACTATGGACAAGTTTCTCTTGTCCTCTTTCCCTTCTCTCTCATCTTTCACCTAGGAGGTTAAGATCCTATGCATTAACAGTGTGTTGAAGATCATAATAGTGCAGAACCACCAACAGGTAGATTCAAACAAACATGGATGTGAGGATACAGTTCAGTTACCCAAGCACCCCTTAAAGCAAGTTCTGTATTTTGTAGCAAAAATGTGTATCTACTTTGGAGTGTTGGAACTGTCTAGTAATTGGAACGTTCTGACCTCTTGCACCAAGACTTAATTGAAATATAGGAAGCAATGATAGGAAGAAAGACCCCTAAGACCTGGCATTCTATAGAGTGTTTCCTGTGGGATTCTTCCCTTCCTTGGTAGTTTGTGAACTTGGTGTATTGATTTGTGTTATCTGACATTTCTAAGAAAAACCGGATTGTAGCAGCAACTTCAGAACATAACTTTTTTGAATTCCACACCACTTACCCAGCATGTATCAGTCTGCCATAGCTAGGATAGGAAAATCTTCTCTACAAACAAACCACATGAAATTTCCTACAGAAAGTTCTACTCATTTTTTTTCTAGTACAATAAAAATGCTGTTCCTTTGTAGCTACATTTCTAAAAAGGAATAGAAACTGCAGAGACAAAAAAGTCAAATTACTTAGTGTTCTATTGAGCTGCAGAGAGTAAAACCCATCTAGGGCAGACATACCATCTAGAACAGGAGCTTTCCTGGTCCCTTTTCACTTTAATTGTAAAACTGTAAACTGTTGTGTTGTATGTTCTACACCCAGTTAATGGTTGCCAGTGGGAAAGGTATGGAGTGGGAGTTTATAGGGACTCATTCTTGATTAAATACTAGTCAGCATTTTAATTGATTTAGCAGTACACAAATCAAAAGCAGAGAAGTGGTGTGGGCAGACTGCATGTGCTTTGGAGGATAAAAAATCCTGCAGGATTACAAGATGCAGTATTAAAAAAAGGCCCCAGTAAGATTAAACTACCCACTATGTATTAAAATCTAAAACAAAGGGGAAAACCCTGTTGTACATCAGTGGCTGAGCTATTAAGGCAATCTCCTACAGCAGAAAAGAACAACCTGTTACTGGTTATTCTTGTAACTAGCTCACTCTGCTACAGTTCCAGTTTGAATATTTCTCTGCACTTTCAGCAGGGCACAGAAGTCCACTGTCAATTCTTACAAATGAAATATTGGAAATGTGGCTTTTTCTGTACTAAAATTGCAGCAGCGAGTGAAAAAAGAAAGAAACACATGGAAATAGTGCCAGAATGGATCTAAGTAGTGCAGCAGAAATAAATTCACTATGGGATTGACTTGGAATAAACCTTGATCAAGATGTTCAAGGCCACAATGGGCTGTCCACCTCAAATTCTGCATGTCTTTAGGGATGACAACCATTCAGTAACCAGTAACAGAGCTGAAGTGATACCACACTGATGCTGAACAAATTCACTTTTTCCATTTCAGTTTAGTTACAAGCTCCCCCTAAACCAAAGTGTCTGTTCATAGGATACTAAATACTTTGGGTTAGCAAAGTATCTTTTAAATCTTGAGGTTTTCATTCCTTTGCCCTCTCATGACTATACTGTAAATTATATTAATGCTTTCTTTAATGTCTAGATTTTCAGATTTACCTCCTGTACTTAAGAAATCCCAGGCATGTATGATCCAAGCACCTTTTCAATATTTTTAAAAATCTTTATAGTTGCAAACCTAACAATAGTTTAATAGACAAAGTTCAATCTTTTCAAATATATAAGTGACATCAGACACAAGATTTCATATATTTTCAATAATGTGCCAAAAGTTTATTGAGTTCACTCAACATCTGTGAGGATTTATGTAGGATATTAAAAAAAAATCAGTTCCTTTTTTATTTTTACCTTCAACAGAAGTACAGTAAGGTTTCTGGTGTCACAGCATTCTCATTCATTTTCATGCAGATAACTTTCGGTAAAAACAGGATTCAGACCAAGGCTGAGTAAGTGCAGGAAATCTCTGAGGTAAGAAATGTCTCATTCAGTATTTGATCCTTCTACTTGACAAGGGATTAAATGTTTGTTTTTTTCTACAATGCAAAAAAGAAGACAGGTGTTTTGTCCATAGTTTTATTTCACCAGGAAGGTTTATACAGTTCTGCATAAAGGTCATTGTATGCATAGCCTGAAGTACAAAGCTCCCTTTGAAAACTCCAGCACAAAGACACTGCATATTGACAACATTAAACAACAATGTGGGTGGTATAGGGAAAAAAAAAAAAAATTAAAACAAAACAGCATTCTTTCTATTGGAAAAGCATAATAAAACAAGGCACTTTCAGTAAATAAGGGAAGAACAGAAAAATGCTGTATCAAAGATTCCCCAGAACTGACCCAGAGCACTGTAACAAAATTCTGCAGTAATGAACAAGTAAAATACAAAAAGGCACTACATAATCCTCTCCCTGCAACTCCCATTTCTCAACCAATTAGCCAACTGAACTTGGCACAATGGAGTCTTAATTATAAAGTGCATCTCCTGTCTTAATACATTTTGAAAAATAGGCTATACAACATAGGTACCAACATCCCATGTGTACAATATATTGAAACAAAAATACACTGCGACTAGATTCAATCTAGTTATGAACTGTGCAGGAAAAAATATGGCTTCTTTACAAGTCTTTCAATAACCGCCATAGAATCTGGAATATTTTAAAACAAACATGAATGCATTAGCAAGGTGGTAAGAGGTAGTGTTCTGAGTAAAAGGCAAATTTACAGATTTTGTTGTTATGTGTTACATGTATATAACAAAGGTATCCCAGATTTTCAAAGCAGCATTACTGAACAAAAAGTATTACAGCATGCTATCTTGGGATGAAAATACACAGTGTTTTGGGGGTCTCAGATCAGTTCTTTCAGCAAAAATGACCATTTTACAATTTCCAACTATGATTCCAAGGTGTAACTACTTTGCTCTTGGTACTGGAAGTTTTCCTATTGCATTGCATAAAACTTCCAGAGAAACTTTCTTCAACTTCAGAATGTAAAACCAACACATTCTCCATTCCTATACACAAATGAGTCCATCTTTACTTCAGCAAGCATTATTTTATGGCTATAAGAAAACACAAATACCAAACAGATGAACACATCAAATGTGTCACAACAGTGGCAATATATGACATATGAGTTAGATGTGTTCCATGATTTACTGTGAAACTTTTGTCATTCTGCTAGGAAAGTCAGCCAAATTGTGTATATACACTATCTAAACTTTAGCTGATTTTAGCCCTTATTAGACTTCAATATATTAAATATATAAAGGCTAGATAAAAACTGAAATCAAAGCAGCACTGGATATATTTCTTACATTAATAATTTGTAAGGATTTATGTAAACATTCAATATGTGCATTCTTGCTCTTTGCTGTGAATTCTTCACAGCTCCTCTATGATCCTACCCACAGAGACACCCTTAACATGAACTTTTCCCAGGTAACAGCTGCTGCTGCTCAGCTATTCTTCATCCGTGGTATAGGCTACTTCAGCAACTTCAATTTCTGGCACAGAATTTCCAGTCAAAGAGCCACTCCAGCATGGCTCATGGTTCTCCTTGTCTGAGCTGCAAAGACAGATCAATAAATGGAAACTGGTATGATTTTCTAGAGCCATTTTAGGCAGACAATCCACAAAACATTGACAAAGCTTTTTTAACTTCTCTCTTATTCCAGATCTAAAATTATCTATCCTGAGGGCCTTTATGCAGCAGAGAGGTGCAGTAAAATGCTGAATTTCTCAGCTGTGCAGATTTAATGCAAGACTAAACATTTGAAAACACAAACTTTAAGAATAACTAAAATACAAGTAAAATAATAGTATTTACCAGCTGTCCTCACCCAGGGTACCCTGGTCTGCTTCTACTGCAGAAGACTCCACCTCACCACTGCACTCACTTTCTTCTCCTGACATCTGACGAGTCATTTTTCCTAAAGATAAATCCCTACAACAGATAAGAACAGAGTACCACCAATCCATACAGCAAACATTTGTCACTGAAGAACTGCTTGTTTCATTTTAGCCCTGGCAGTTTCTGCAAAAAGATTGAAAGTAACCTTTCAATCTCACTCCTGCATGCCCCATTTCTTTGACTAGTACTATTTAAACAGTTTATTTGCTCCAGCTGCTTATTCCTGAACTAAATTCAGTCCTCTAAATCTCTGAGCCTCCAAGATGATTAGAGGGTTGGAGCACCTTTCCTATGAGGAGAGGCTCAGAGAACTGGGATTGTTCAGCCTGGAAAAGAAAAGGCTTTGGGGTGACATAATTGCAGCCTTCCAGTACCTGAAGAGAACCTAAAAGAAAGATGCAGAGAGACTTTTTACAAGAGCCTGTAGTGACAGGACTGTTTCCCAAGGGAGAATGGCTCCAAACTGAAAGAGGGTAGGTTCAGACTGGATATTAGGGAAAAGAATCTTTATTGTGATGGTGCTGAGGCACTGGAATGGGTTGCCCAGAGAAGGTGTGGATGCCCCATCCCTTAACGTGCTCAAGGCCAGGCTGGAAGGAGCTCTGAGCAACCTGGCCTAGTGGAAGCTGTCCTTGTTCATGGCAGGGGGTGGATATTAGATGATCTTTCAGGTCCCTTCCAACCCAGGCCATTTCATTGTTCTCTGGTTGCATGACAATTTAGTAGCTTCACAAAATTCAAGTCCCAGAGAAGTGTGTATGACTTAAAGTGAAAACTTACATTCAGACTAAGCCACACACATTTTGCCTAAATGGCAGAAGGATTATAACCAAAATATAGTCAAAAGGAAGACAGGAGAATGACAAGATTTCTTCAACAGTTTCTCAAGTTTCTCACTGTAACTTTACAAAACCACACACAAAGCAATACATTTTTCCATTAGTGATAAAGACAGTTTTTTTCTTAATGGCAAAACAAGAAAATGGTCTAGCTAGCTTATCTAAAATGGGAATATGGTCACGTAGATTGACCAAAGAAATACTTTTTTCTAAACCATTTCTCTATGTGGAAAACATACATCAATTTAGCATTGAATTGGAAACAAAAGCTTGTGATCCCTTTTGTGTTTAAAATTATACTACTATATGTCTTTCCCTTTTAAAATTGCTCTAACTACTGTTATTTTATTTGAATGCATACATTTCACATGAAGTCTTAAAAGCATTCTGTAACATGACTACCAGTCTATGTCTGAGCCAAATCCAGAAAAACAATAATAATAACAATAACAATAATAATAGTCTTGCAAGTCTCAGGACTTGTCCAGCTGTCCCCTTCTGTCTCACATCCATTGTAGTTACCTGGCCTTTAAAGCATGTAGGCATAAGATGCTTAATTCTTGTTAGGCCATCAAATAAAAATTCTACTTCAACAAGGCCAAAGACAGGCACATTTCTTTTGGGTTCATTTACTATCAGACAAGCTGAAGTTCTTGACTGAAAAAACTTGTGATCTTGGTTTTTTTACAGCCAGAAGTCACAGAAGTTATTTTTCATCAGGACTTCAGACACTACGTGGCTGACTTTCACTAATTTTATATGTCTAGGAAACTAGCAGTGTGTTTGAGTATTTAAAAAACATAATCTATCTTCAGGGAAAACACTAAAATATCAAGTCCCTTCTTGCTATTCACACCTTTTTATTTTCTGTCACACAGAATTTCCTATCATGATGTTTTAGCCAAATGCAAGTTACTTAAATAGTGAAATAGTCAGGAAAAGTTAAGGCAGCAGCTGTTCTTATCAAACAGGGGAAGGATCTTTGAAATGTAATTACGTGCCTTCAGGAGTGAGCAACAACCTGAATATGGTATTCTGATCAGAATTTTCAGTCAACCACAATAAGTGCGTTTAAAGCCTTTTCCAAAGGTAGTTCACTAGAACATTTAAAGGTGTCATTTGTTAGTCAACCTGGATATGCTGGACTCAGCAACCCATTCAGTATTAAAATAAAAGTTATTTTAATTTTTTTAAAAATAAATTTCTTCACTGCCTCTGGTCTGACACACATGCAGAGGGAATGTTTTTTTCATCTGATCTCATGTTAGGAAGAGATTCTTTACTGTGAGAGTGGGAGGCACTGGAACAAGTTGCCCAGACAAGTGACTGCTCTATCCCTGAAAGTGTTCAAGGCCAGGTAGGATGGGGCCTTGAACTACCTGGTCTAGCAGAAACTGGATGATCTTAAAGGTTCCTAAATAATCCTATGATTCTCTGAAGTTCTAATGGGACTATAGGAATTCACTCTTCTGCAATACTGACTCAGCAGCTCTAATGGGACACTGGATAGCACAACATCAATTCCTCAGCTCCTGTTACAGAATTTAGCAGACAGGTACTGTTTTCCCTTGGGTTTAAGTGGACAATGTCCCATGCTATTTAAATGGTAGCTGCAGCATTTCATTCCAAGAAATTCAGAACAAAATTAAACTATTACAGATATACAACTGCTTGATCACTATGCTTTGTGAAAGCTTTGAGTACAGAGAGAATTTTATAACTCAAAGCAATTTTCCCACTCATCTCTAGCAGGGCATTTCACATTTTCAACACTTCAAAAGCAGAACAAAATCTTGCTCTATCTTTACAGGACTTAAAGGATTAGGAAACAATCACAGTTACTTTAGAGGGAAAAGATAGGACAAGCTTCTCAGTCGTTTGTACTAAATAGCTTTTAGCAAGCATATGAGGAAGAGCTTACTGAAAATATTACTTTGTATGTGGTTATGTAGGGAAAATGGTTTCCAAGATACAGCTAAAGCTGGTATTTGTGACTAGACAGAGAAAATGCTTTCATGGAGATAACTTCCTAAAACCCTTAAAATTTCTACATACCTAATTCTTCTTTCAACAGCATCAATATGAAGTTGCTTTTCCGTTAATAGTTTCTTCAGTGATTCAACCTCCCTTTGTTTTTCAAGCAGTTCTTTTTGTAGGCGATAATTTGTTTCCTCCAGAGTTTCACAGAAAGCCTAAAAGACAAATTTAAGTGCATCTTCATTTTAACTTCAGTGGACTGCCTTTATTGACTTTTCTCTTAACAGTATTATAGCTGCTTGTCTTAAGACTGATTACCTTAAAAAGCTACATAAATAAAAAAAAATTCCTATCTTAATAATGCTGCTTTGAATGATGAATTTATTATGCTAAACTGCAATGCAAATACTTTAATCATATCATGTGGGAGAATGGATTATAAGAGAATGGAGATGATGCTGTGGGCAGCCTCTCCCTGATGAATTGCAGCTGTACTAATTACCAAAGAGTAGAAGCAGCCTTGCCCTTAATAGGTCACAGCTGTGTCCAATAGGGGTGTGTGTTCTAAAAGAGTGGTTGGCAGGTCATGGAGAGAGGAAGGAGTCGGTGTTGCTGTCTGTGGGAATTCACAGAGGAAAGGTATGAATTTTACTGTAGGGTAATGAAGTGCTGATGCTTTTGGTGTCAGTCGTGTGACCACCATCAATATTGTTTGTCTGTCTCACAACAAGTGAGACACCAGAAGAGCAGTTCCTGATTTGGAACCTTTTTGCCTATATGGAACATAAACTGAACTCCCTGCTTCCTCTTCTCATCATTAAGTTTTGTTTCCACATGACTTGGAAGTCAGTTTCAATGTATCTATATATTTCCAGGATGCAAAGAATATTTAGATTAACTACAAATTCTTTCCTTACCCAGGACAAAGACAAAGCTGTACAGTTCTGTACCAAATACCTGTGACAAATGTGAAATCATGACAATCAGAAGACCAGTAAAATAATATTTTGCAAATGTTTAATAGGATGCTGTGAACACTAACTACTCAGCCATGACAAATATGCTGGGCTCCTATGCTGAGCATGGCATGTCTGTATCACACACCCGATGGATCTGTCACTGAGCAATCACAAACCCAACGTGAAGAGCCCGTGTCTAATGTAACATCCTCCGAATGCAGGAAGTGACAGAAGAGCTGGCACAGAGCCTCCCCATCTATTACTGGAAAGCACAAGTCCTCCAACGGTAATGTGCAATTCTGATTTAATAATTTACATGTGCTCTATAAATAAGAGCCCCACGTGGGAGGCTTTCTTGGCTTGGTATTACCAGCAACTAACCACTAACTCAGAGTCTGCTGAATATAAACATTTTATATGAGCTCAGTTAAGAATAATCCTGTTAAGATACTGTTTGTCCTAGAGTTTTAAAACAGGCTACAAACATCAAGAATACACTATCCTTTGCTTTAACTGAAGCAGATTCATGATCTTTAAAATATTAAGTTTTTCTGTAATTATACAATACAAAGAAATGAGGAGTTTTCAATTCAATAACCCTGTTTTTTCCATGGAATTTTAGTTTATTTTATTGACTCAGATAGCAAATTTATCTTTGCTGACAGGCACTTGAAGACCAGTCATGAGTTAAGCAATAGCTTTATTCATATATACCAGAGCCAAGAGCATGTGTCATGTAACTCACTCTTGACACAGCATTTATAGTGGTTGCTTTAGCTATCACTGTGGTTAAGCAGTCATCCCATTTCAGCCAAGCCAATTAAGTAAATTTTTCTGCTCTTGGTAAAAATATTCAAGGTTGCTAATACCCTAACTGAAAATTAGACATTATTTCCTTAAGAATATCATTAAGTTTATTATTTCAACCTTTACATGTATGCACATGGAAATTTCCCTATACACAAAATAGATAAAAATATTGCACAAGTGTTGAAAACTCTTTCATTGTTCTGAGAACTGAATAAAGCCTTTGGAAAAATCTTCTCTCTATCTGCAATCTGGGTATGAGCTGTCCAAGCAAACACAGGCACTGTTTGAAACTGGGTAAGGAAACATCAATATATTCTGAAGGATGCTGTAATAGCAGAAAAGTGAACCAAAGCTGAGAAAGGGAACAGTGTGTAATGAGCTGTCTTGTTCTTTAGACAGCTGGACACCTGGAGTCTGGAACAGTTTTAATACTCCAGGCTGGACTAATTATTCCTGAATTTCTGAAAGGACAACCAGGAGACAGCTTTGCTTCCTTCTTCAGATCATGAAACAGAGATGGCTGAGAAAAGATCTGTGGAAACAACTACCAAGGATATGACAAAAAAAAAAAAAAAAAGATTTAGTGAATATTTTGCCTACTTTTCTGCGATTAAATTTCTTGGCCTAATTAGCTTCTAATGGAGCAGGTACCTGTATCTCTCCCCTGGAAAAGATAAATGTGTTTTGGCAAGTCCTTGGGATAATAGAATAGACATAAAACAAATAGAAGATATCCATAATTTCCATTATCAGGAAAACAGAAGATTTCTTCTTGCAATGCTTTGGATGGCAATAGAAAGGCAAAACAGAAGTAAGTTTTGAGATATCTTTAAAAATGAACTCCAGGAATAAGTACATGAACCTCAGTGCTTTTCCTGTATAAGGCAGTTCAGGGAAAGAAAAATAAAGCAACAAAGAGTAGGGATGGATATAGATGCTTTTAGTATGCAGGAATTTAAGATTTCTCCTAACAATCGGAAACAAGACAAAAAGCATGGCCACAACCATGGATTTCAGGCTGAGCCAACTTCAAATCTCTTCAGAAAGCTGCTTGGAAGAAAGAATCCATGGGAAAACACCCTGGAACAAAGAGCAGTCCAGGAGAGCCAGCTGGTATTTAAGGGTCACCACCTGCAGGGTCAGTAAGTACAGCTCAACAAGCAAAGGCTGCAGGGGGCCTGTATAGATGAGCAAGGGTCTCCTGAGCTCAGAGATAAAAAGCAAATCTGCTAGGGGTGAAAGCATGGAGAGATGAAAAAAGGAGTAATGTAAGGCTGCTGTCTAATCTTACAGGGACAGGATGATGAAAGTGAAGGACAACCTGGAGCCGAATCTGGCAGGGCATGTGAAAAGAAACAAAAAAAGAACTCTACAAGTGCATCATCAACAAAAGAAAGATGGGAAACCATGGACTTGTTGTGTTGATTGGAAAAAAAAGCCTTGAGTAATTCTTTCCCTGCAGCCAGAAAGGAAGGTCAAGACAAACTCACCTGCAGTGGGAGAAGAGCAGATCAGGGAGCACTTAAACAAAATGGATACACTAATGTCCATGAGACCTGAGAGGCTGCCCCTTTGTGCTGTGCTGGTGGTCAGCCACTGGAGCAGGCAGGACAGAAAGGCTGTGAAGTCTCCTCTGCAGAACCTTAAAAACCTGACTGGACATGGACCTGAGCAACCTGCAGTAGCTGACCTTACTTGAGCCAGGAGGGCTGGAATAGATGATCTCAAGAAGTCCCTTCCAACCCCAGTCACTCCATGAAGGTGTGGTATCTCTTGGAGAATTTTATAACAGCTGTCTCAACAACTTCACAGAAATGGGTAATAGCTAAAACTACAACAGCACAGCTGTTTTAATGGTTTGATTAAATTCCAGTGGAAGAATAACACAGATTTCACCACAGCATGCACGACTGAAATTTCAATGAAGAAGGCACTTCATTTTTTTAAATTATTTGAACAAATAATTATGGTAATTAAAAAAAATCATCAGCATAAATATCAGTGATGAAAAGGGATTGTATGGAAACCAAATATGAGCTTGTGACAAAAAACCAAATCTTTCACATGCAATAGCAATGTAACAAGAACCAAGGCAATCCTACAAACATGCAAAACAAAAAAAACTGGCAAATATAAATTTAGTTGAATGAGCATCATTTAACATTCATAATTTCTGCAAGACTAACAATGTACGTACAATTCTAAAACACAGTTATTCTATAAAGTAAGGAAACTAAGATCATCTGCTCTAGACAACCTTGATACGGCCCTTCATGTCACTAAAATTTATTTCTAAGAGAATAGATTGAAACACACAGTATTATTAGTTCAGTGTGCTCATATAAATGTTGAAAGGCTGCTGGTTTACAACACTACTTGACACTGCTTAGTTTTCTGCAAGAACACTAATTTTGGTCGTGAGAATTAATAATTTAACTGCATTCATTACATGAGAAGGCATCCCTTCCCATGACAAGGGTGTTGGAAGTAGGTGATCTTTAAGGTTCCTTCCAACCCAAATCCATTCTATGATTCTGTGATTTTATAGCAAGAAACATTTCCCAGAAAGACCTGAAGTCTAAGGTATAAGCACTGTAACAATTTGCTGAATATAAACTTATAAAATATCTCCTTATATTTAGTAGGTGTCTTATATAAGTAGTTGCTTTACAAAGCAAACTTCATCCATGGCCCAAAAAAGGCAAAAAAGAAGATATATTTTGGGACAGGGATGAAGTACAGCAGTCAGACAATCAGTGTGCACCATTTATCAGACTTTGCCCATTCTAGAAACACAACATTTTGTGATTTTTGTGAAAGAACAGAAAGAAAAGTGTTTCATTCTGAATCATTAGACAGATCTTAAAATATTCTAAAAACACCAGCTTTTTGCATTCTGTTTCTATCCTACTTACCCTGCTCTCTTCTAGACTGTCAAAAGGACCCGGAGGATCATCCAGACAAAGAAATTCTCTCACTGCAAGGCTTTACCAAATAAAAGAGAATGAATTACTGGAAGTACAAAACCAGCAACAACACTTAAAAATGATCAAAAAATTGAGGTATTTCTTTAAGTGACACAAAAATTACACCCTCAAATTTCCTCCCAAGTATTCACAAAAATTAACAAATAAATGGTTAACAAACTATTTAATCTCAGTTGTACGTGGTGACCAGGGAGAGTATTTAGAATGCAACTTATGAAGATGTTTAAGCAATTTTAGAACATGTTTTTTATGATTTTTTAAAATTTTCAGTGAATTTGTAGCTACATGACAACTGGCAAGTTTATCACTTTGGTATTGAAGAGGTTTGAAAAACTCTCCTGGAGAAAAGTAAGTATTATAAAATTAGTATTATGCAATAGATGAAAAGTATACTGTTAAAATTCATATGCAGATACCTTCAGGTAGTATCAGGGGATTTAACTATGAGCACTCAAACATGTTCACCTGTCTCCCTTTTGCTAAGATCATAATCCATTGACATATACACGATATAATTTATATATATACAGTGTGTATTTTTATATAAATAATAAGTTACAAAATGATAGAAGACAATGTACCATAGATCTACTACATAGCCATCTCTAAATACACATTTCAAACTAATGCATTCCATTTGGATTTGTGTAACAGTTACCATCCCCCTCTGTGTGTTGTTTTGCAAAGATCAGAAGAAAGAAGTAGGTGTAATCCTGTGGTTTACTACAGAGTATTTTAAGCATCTGTCTCATTCTGTCTTCCAAATTTAGATTACTTTTCACAGAACTCCTAAACATCTCCAAACATGTCCCTTCAGCTACCTTTTTAAGACTTTCCTGCTCGGTTGAATTCATTCTTCTTTAAGGAATCTCAAATTAGAACACTGTATTCACAATTAATTAGCAAGCAGTAACTTAGGAGCAATGCTGTGCTTGCACCCACTACTATAAATCTTTAAATAATCTCCTACTGCAATGGGTGCACAAAAATGAAAAATGGGAATCCAAACTTAATTTTCTGTCTCTTCTTCCCACCTGGGCCCCATGGAAAATGTGAGGGCAAAAGGCAGTAATTTTCTGCTTTCCACCCATTCTCTGCACTTGAGGTTTTTGCAAAGCACAAGCACAAGAAAGGAAACTTTCATCCAGCTACCATCCTAATCAACCAGCTTCAGGTTGGCAAGCAAAATGAGCAGAAACTTCTTCAAACAATCATCATTCATTATACTATCACTTTTAGTTTTAAGAAGACTCTAAAGAACAATTATCTAAAATACACTGAACATTTACTTTGTTGTTTCTTTACCTAAAATAGGCCCCTGATGGCATGAACATTTATTCACAGCCTAGCTTTGCTCTGAGAGTCTGCTCTGACCCTGCTCTCCTCTCCACGTATTACACCTCTTCCTTTCACTTCATGAATGGAAGATTCTGCCTTGAAAGTACCACAGGGACCTTTTCTGTCCTGTGACAGAGCTTGCTGTACACACGTGCAGGCTGCCATCCCTCTCCAGGGAGGAGCAGAGCCAGCACTCAGGAGGGCAGCAAGGGGCAGTGCCGCACATGGCATCCCTGACTCCAAGCTGGCCGAGTTCCTCCCTTCCAAGCTTCTTACACAGGGTGGAGACAGGACAGCTCTGTCATCTATATAAAGCCAGATTCTGTTTAGCAGGTTAAACTTCTTTCACCCACTTCACCAGTTGTATGAAATTTTCCTGACCACTACTTAACTCTGTGGGTGGACTTCAATTTGATCTTTCACTGAATCTTCAATACAACATAAAACAAGAGAAGAAGTCATAAAACACAAACAAAAATTTAGCCACCTGCATATATTATCCTCCATTTTATTTTAAAAATACTTTGTGAATCTAGTTTTATTAAAAATAGGTATACCAAATGAGGTTTCCTATCCCTGAAGGGCAAATTTCCCACTGTGAATACAGTACATAAAGTATGAAGAGAAGTAAACCAGACTTCTCTACAAAGAAAAAAGGCTTTTTTGGTTTAGGTCTGACTCAAGCAGTTTGACTTGCTTGCAAAACTGGAGAAGTAAATGGTGAGTTTTAAAGGAAAAAACAGGGTGAAATGCTCACCACTGCTCATGTGAGGTACAAGTATTAATTCCCATTAATTGTCAATTTATTCTCTGATAAATGGGTAAATATATTAGATGGTCAAATCTCCTTCATTCTAATCACTTCTTGAAGAATTCACACCTTCCACAGATCCAAACCTTAGAACCATATCAATAGGTTATAAAATTTATTAAAAAATTTTGTGCTCATGCAGAGCCCTACACAGACAAAAGTTCTAGAAACCACATTTCAGTTAACCATCTCTTCATGAGCCAAAAGGCAAACTGATTCCACAAACATTTAAATTCCTTTTTGTATCTGATAACCAACACAGTCAAAAAGTTAGAGTTTGGAATTTTTTGCCTTAAACTATGACAAACACTATTTTGTCCAACATGGTCTATCACTAAGATACAAACAAGCCAGCTGAAATGATGGACTAGCTGCAACAACATGAAGCAGAAAGACTTCAGATCTATTTAAGCAAGTCCATTCCATTCACTAGTGTGCCTCCAGCAGCATAACAAAAGTTACATTTAGGGATGAGATTGATTCTTTTTAGCACACCTATTATTATGTAATTTAATTATTAGGAAGTTTTTAAACTTCTCAGCTGCATACCTCACCCATATAATCATATTTAATAGTTACTTACACAGAAACTCATAAGTTGAGCCCCATTTCTTTTTTAAGCCTATTAAGCTTTGTCTCTGACATCTCACAACAAAGCTTTGCCACTCAGCATGACATACTCCAGGATGACTATGAATCATCAAAATATTAACATTTCTTACTCACCTTCCCTCTCCCCTTTGATGATTTCACACCCTGTTTGCTCACCTAACACAACAGACTAATGACAACACTTCTTGCAGGAAGTTTTTCTGCAGCTTCCTCTGCTCTTCCTTGCTTTCTCTGTACCTCTAACAGACACCTCCTTTGAGATGGAATGCTGTGTTTTGGCACTGAACTATGTGGAAGTACAGTTCAGATTCCCAGAGCAGTAACTTCTTTTCCCCCTCTTAAGTTCCTCTAATAATTTCAATGAATTTTTTTGACTATTGCTGAGTACTGAACTGATTCAGAAAACTAGTGGTATCATTACCAATAGTTATTTTCCAAGTTGAAAAATTAGCTGAGTTCATGAATCTGTATGGGTGTACTTACTGTCACTTTCTAGTTCAAGACACAAAAATTGATTTAAGTCACTCAGTACCTCAGGATCCTTCTACAATAGTTTGTGCTTTCATTGTTCATTCCATTCTCCAGATAATTTCAAAATGTCCTGAACATCAGTGTCCACAACTGTGATCTAACATTCCACTGGTACTACCCCTAAATTTCCATCAATCCTTTCCCCCTTGTCTTTTAACTATTTTATATGAGCCCTGTCATAACTACTCGTTTTTCTCTACAGAAGACATTATATAATTTTTATTTACCTGCTTTGGGGTTTTTTTTTACTACAAGAAGTACCAAAGTCAGACTAATGTACAAATCCCTGTTTTCCGGACTCAGCAGTTGAATGCCTTATAAAAACATGTCAAATGTAGTAATAATACCCCTTTTACTAAAAAGTAAAGTAGCTATGAGCACTACATGGTCTCACAGTCCCACACCAGCACTTGAAAATTTTAAAATTTTGTTCCTTTAAAAGTCTTGAGAGAATTAGGTTTGCTTTAGAACATTTTTTACTCTTTGTTTTGAAGGAAGCTTCAGATGATGACAGGTTCTCAGACTCATTCCTCAAAGAATCTCTAGTATAGCAGCCTTAAAACCTTTTTTAATTCTAATGCTGGCAAAGGTTTTAAAATGAACTGCTTTGCCTCTAGCAAGTTGCTTACTTTAATTCTCTTCTGGTCCGTAAGAAAATTATTTTACAGTTCATTTGTCAGAATTACATTCTATTCATTTTCCTGCTTTGGAAGAATCTCTCACTTTGTACTAAAAAAGATACTGTTGAAAGAAATCTTTGCACTTTGCTGGCCTAAATACATTATGTTTTTTAAACTATTAAGACTTTTTTTTTGATTTGTGGTTTACATTTACTTATGTACAGGAATCTGTAAATTCATTTAATGCCATGTCAATAAAAACCTCTAGTTTAATACACATTTTAAGAACTAATTGCATAATAGTGTAGGTACTCTACATTATGAAAGCCTAACACACATAGTATAAATTAACAATATTACCAATTCTGCATTGAACACAGAGAAGTAATGTTTTAGGAATAAACATGGGATTATTCTAACATTTTAAATATTACAGCTTTTAGTTATCCCTATACAAAATACTGCAGTTCCACTTTTTTATGCTGAGATGGGACTAATTTAAAAGGACACTGAATAATTGACATAATGACCAAATGCAAGCATGAATGTTACTGAAATCCCTCACCGCACTGCCTGAAGGTACACTGCTGGAGTCTAGGAGTTTTACAAGAGGAGTATGGACAGGAACAAAGCCACAAATGAACAAGCAAAGGTTAATCACCTACCAGTTAGCAATATCTTTGTGAGCTACTAGGTTCTGGAGGAATGCCTGCAACCCCAGCTGTCGATCTTCCAAGAAGTCAGGATTGTAATTATCCTTGAACCAGCGCTTTGGCGGAAGGGCCAACCGAAAGCCTGGAAACATATCTTTTAGCTGGAATTGAAATTAAAGACAAAAAAAGAAAAAATTTGAGAAAAATACTAATTTTGCTAGAGGCATTGAATTTACTCAGATTTATAAGACATTTCTGACTTCTGGTAAAGTTCAAGCACAAGACAAGTCACAACCATAGGAAAATCCAAATTACAACTTAAATTGCAGACACAGTTCTGTCACTTGCTGCCTTATGCAGTAGAGTGCTTGGTATTTTCCCTCAAATTTAACACATAAAAATAGGAATGAAAACTTTTGCTTTGTTATTTAATGTCTGAGTCCGCTATTTAAAACATTTGAGTCTCTACACATAAGAAAACTGTAAAAAAAAAAATCAATGAAAAATAATTTCAGTGGTATTTCTTTTAAAGTACTCAGGGATAAAAACTACTACATATACACATATATAGAATAAAACCCCATGACAGATGTACAATTCTGCAACTTGTCTTTCTCGGGTGGCTAGAAGAATAAATTACAACACATGCATGAGGTATTTCTTGTAAAGAGTAGTTCTTTGTACACCCTGAATAATAAAATTTCAATATGCAAGTATGGCTCAACCCCTAGTAACATGCAAAACTGCATTTCTCAGGTCCTTAAATAGCAATGGGGTATAGCTGACATCAGAAATACCCAGATTTTTTCTTTGAATTCAGAAATAAAACATACAAGTGAATGAAAGCATAAAGTTATACAACAATGAACCTTTCCAAGAGTGACAATTATTCTTCTAATATGCATGATAATCAAAATAACTTTAACTTTTTGATAAAAAAACAATTTTTCAAAGTTATGCTTGACAAAGAAAAATCTGGGAGAGGATTTACAACCAACAGGAAAAAGCAAATAGGTTTTATAAAATTTGATATCTCAGCTGCCACAAGAATTGTTTCATCATTTTTTCTGAATACAGGATCTAGCCAGCTTCTGTCAGAGATGTTCTGTGTACACTGATTATATTAATATGAATGTTGCAGTGATAGAAAATTATAACTGACCGCTCTTTCACCAGATTAACTTTTAGAAAATTTAGAACAGATACTGCACTTCAAATAGAATCTCTCTACACACTTTGAAGGAAGAAGCACATTAACAGATCTCCTTTGCTTATGTAACTATTGTTTTGCACCATGAGGCACATTTTAAACATCACAATATTGTTTATTCAAATAGCCCATGATAAATTCTGGTTCCTTATTTACAGAATGTTTTTTTGTCAAAGCCTTGCTCTTTATTTCTGAATTAAATTATTTAAGTATGTTTTCCTGATACTGAATTTCATCTTGATATTAGACCCTTCCTTATATCTTTAAGTTTATATTTGGTGCTCCAAAGTTCCTTCATCTCTTACCAAGTTATCATTAATTTCATATATATAAGAATGTATCTGAATAGGACAGAACCCACAGAATGTAACAAAATGAGTTCCTGTTCGTTGTACAGAAGAGTGCAGACAACCATTGCTGGGAAATGGTTCAAACACACAGATTTTGCTGAATGGTAACTTTTACTTGTCTGGTCACATGGATCACGTAATTTAATTCTAAGGAGAGAATACACCTACAGGTTACTCCTTTTGTGGATGAAGAAGGTAAGACCCAGCTGCTGTCAGTGGATAATTTTCAACAGCACAGTCCTGGGGCATTCTTTCTTTAGTGCTCCTCAGACACAGCAGGAAAACCCATGGGTCAGACAACTTATTCTGGCCATGATTGCTTGCTTGGATGCAGCACCTTTCCTACTCCTTCCTACATCACCATGTGACACTTCAAGCCACATGAGTCACAGTCTTGGGGAGAAATTGTGAACTTCTTGGTTCTTAAGAATGGCCATTTCATCACATGTTTTCAAACTATTATTATGTTACTACTTTGTAATTCTTTAATATTGCCTGACTGGTGGTATGTTTAAGCTCCTAGAGCTGATATTTCTATACTATAAAAAGTAAAATGTCTTACAGACCAAAGAGTAAATGGTTTAGATGCATACTGAAAGGTGAAAAAGCTTCAGACAGTGACACAAATTTTAAAAAATACAGATTTTTTTCCTTTAAACAGAAATACTAATACCTAGAAATAATGGTAAAAGCCAAACATTTGATGGCAAAGACTAAGGGCTTTATGAGTAAAAATTTAAGTATTTATTCTGATAGATATTTTGGCATTTTGATTTTTCAAACCACCGACAACCACATTAAGTCAACGGAGGTGATCAAAATGCAAATTGCTGTATGACTTGACTTCCAAAATCTGAATTGAAATACCAATATCATTGTCTCAAAAGAAGTTATGCCTTTGCCAATATCAAGACATTCTTTAATTTAAGATAGACTGTATTTAAGACAAGAATTTCTTCAGAAAGAAATCTCTAAACTAATTCACATTTAGCAATTTAGTTTTAGACATCACTGGTGTTTCAAAGGTAGCCTAGAAGATACTCAAATAGGTCAAACCAAGAACACAGAGAAATTTGTAAGTTCAAAACCATTTTCAAAATCTCAGCTGAATTTAGCTCTTAGTTGATTAGGCACACAAATCCAAAGTGATAACCTGTACAAAAAATCCCTTACAATCAGTAAAGAAATAAGGTTCATGTTGAAGCATGAAAGAACATTCTAGCAGAAAGTGTGCTGAACTGGCAACGAAAGATTATTGTTAGGAGTTAACAGTGGACAAAGGAAGTTTCAATTATTTCTCTACTTTTGATAGCTAACACTATTTACCAATCATAAAAACCTGTGCTTTTCAGACAAGCACTTTTTCCTTTTAAGTATTCTTAATGTATTAAGTTATTGACCCAGAATTCCTATTCATCTGGTGTTTCTTCCATCTTTAAAGATCTGATATAGTATTTCACTATTAACTTTGAAGACACTGAAAACAACTGAAGACTGACCAACATACAAAGAACATATTTATGTTCACGAAACTTCAGTTTTATGATGAACAAAATCAGAGTTGGTTACACAGAAAAGACCTAAATAACTAGTGGATCATTCCTGCAAGAGAATACAAGCCCCTAGTTCTATTTCCATGCAGGGGGATAAATATTCAAGAGTTAATTCCTTTATGATATAAACTGGGAATAAATATTAAATTTGAAGCATACTAAGAGCTTCAGATGAAGCTGTTACATCTTCTTTACATCAGCTGTTTAATGATCTTTGAAAAAGTGAGGAATCATATTTTTCCAGTTATTAATACAGTATGTGTTTTATGTGCATTAAAATAAAAAAAAATGAAGATGTGACAAAAATATAAGACATGAAAGCAGTGAGGTGAGATAGCTGAGAATTTACCAGTTTATAATCCCCACCTTGTCATTAAGCCTGGAGAAATCTGTGTACCGTCTGAACACCACCCAGCTTTCCTCTGGACTTCTTTTCACCAGTATTTTGTATACCTGTGTGGAAAGACAGAAATATAAGAAAAATGTGCAAAACTTCACAGTGCATTGCAAGGAGTTCCTGTAATTCCTAAATACATATAACTATTTCTGTCTGTAAGAAAGAATTTACTGCCAAGTAGAACAAAAGGCTCAGCTATCAAAAAAAGTAAGGGAAGTGTGTTTCTGTGATCTACTTTAACCTTTGCAAAATTACAGTTTTATTCATTGATCCTGGAGGCCTCTCTATTTTTAAGATGCTTGCTAATCATCAGGTACTGTGTGTGATATTGCTTAAAAATGTCTCATCAGACTTGTTTCACAAGGAGAAATGATGCAGAATAAAATTACATCCTCCCTTGCATTTGTCTTGAACATTAGGTTTAGTCTTTCCAGGCAAATAAGATTTCACTATTAAACTGCACCAGAATGATGATACCACCGCTGTGTAACTGAAGTAATGGATACTTTGAATCAGATTTACCAAGACAACAGCACAGCAGTGCCATACTCCTATTTAAAAACAAATGGATAAAGCAAGAAAACAGTGATGATAATGATGATGATAACACTACAATTACTTTCTAGGAGGATTAATATTCCAATGCCTGAACACAATGAATCTAACAATACAACTTCAACTAGAAAACATTAAACAGTGTCTGATGTCATAACCTTACTTTCTCCAGTGTAGGGAAAGACAGGTACTCTCAATTGTACTGGGTTATTTTTCCCAGTCTGTATGTAAAAAATATAATACAAGAAAGAAAAAGGTATTTTTAGAACCATAATGATAAATGATCCCTCATTTAACCAAATCCTATTTAAAACATTTTCTAATCTGTTACATACTAAAATCTTCTGCAGTATTTCATGCTGTTACAGCAGGTTGTCTCAGCTGATAAGTGTATTTTTCTTATTGCAGTCCCAACATGTGATAACCCCAGTGCTAGCCAACTTCTGTACAGGTCTGAGACTGTTTCTAGCAATTTTGTATTCCATAATATATTAACTTCCAGATAATTACAGAAACTACAGATAACTATGGTGCAAATCAAAAGCAATTTTTCAGTAAGTACTTCTCTTATCTATGTTTTAAACACAATTTCACTTTCAAGACACATCATCTGTGGAAGTCATGGATTGTGACAGAGCAAAAAGCTATTACCTTTTAAAATTCAAGCTGCAGGACTTGCTTACAAAACCAGCATTAAAATATATTTTTTCTGCCTTGCATTTTATGTCTAAATGCTTATCCAAATATTTTATTACTTTACTGTCATACTAAAAGTATAAGCAGTTTTATTTTCATAAACAAAATTAATAAATAAATGTATAATTGTGAAGACTCTTTGCTAAGACAAAGTAAAACAGAGAACAAGAAACCCCGTATTATGTGTGCCAATTTACTTGCTAATCAGTATTCTATTCTTGTATTCTACTCTTAAGTTCTGTTTAAGTTCTGGAAAAGTATTGTTTAAACACATAGACAAGAAAAAAAGGAATAACTTCCAACTAAAGATTGGATAACTTAAAGAAGTTCATCGATTACAATTAACTGTAACAGGGAGTGCAATCAACTTGTGATTAATGGCCTCAAAATTATGGGCAACCTGAAACAAACATGTTTGGTTTTCCTGCCAAAGTTTAAGAAAAGGTGGTTTGGTGTTTTTTGGCTTTTCTTTAAGGTATACAATTAGTAAGAACTAGAATACTAAAAATCACCTCTTAGTTCCTTCATACAAGATCTTGGGTAAAAATCACAAATTAATTCAACAAATTCATTTTACTCCACCATAAGCTTCAGCAACCACATACTCTAACATGCACTGTCATTTTAACTCCTGAAGCTTGGACATCATTAAGCCAAATCAGATTCATATTTTTGGAAACTATGAGATGCAACCAACAGTAAACAAAGAATTCAGCAATTGGGTCTCCTCTCTTTTACAAGTGATTTAATTTGCTTTCCACAGTCCTCCACTGTCTTCTAAATCTCACTGATTTAGCACTGCAAAAGCAACTCAAATTCTAAGGACTAATTACTTGCTGGCTTTAATGCACAAGAGCAACCTGCATGCAGAACATGCAACTGAAAACAAACAGCTAATTGTGTGGTTTCAGAAACCAACTCAGCAATAGAAGTGAGATCAGGAAGAGCAAAAATGCATCCAAGCATTTTACAATGGAAGAATGTTTCACTTGTACCATGACCTGGCCTTCCACACACAACAATGGGATGAAGTTCTCACTGTTAATACAGAAACACCTCACAGGCACACTGCATTAGGTCTTGGCAATGTCTTCAGGAAAGACAAGAAGGGCAACAAGCTGGTGAAAGGTCCAGAGGCCAAGTCATGTGAGGAGTGGCTGAGGGAGCTGGGGACATTTATCCTGGAGAAAAGGAGGCTCCCTACAAGCACCTGAAAGGAGGCTGTAGCCAGGTGGGGTCAGACTCTCTTCCCAGACAACCAGTGACAGGACAAGAGGCCTCAAGCTGTGCCAGGGGAGGCTCAGGTTGAACATCAGGAAGAATTCCTTCATGGAAAAGGTGGTTAAATATTGCAATGAGCTGCCCAGGGAGGTGGTGGAGGCACTGTTCCTGGAGATGCTCAAGAAATGAGTGGATGTGGCACTTTCTGCCATCATCTGGTCAGGGGGGTGACCAAAGGCTGGACTCGATCTTAGAGGTCTTTCCCAACCTAAATGATTCTGTGGTATTTGCAGACTAATCCTTGTACATATAGCAGTATCAATTGTTGTTTTGGTTTTGAAGGTTATTATTTAAAACAATTTTTAAAATTTACCTGTGAAAAAAATTTTGCTCTTCTCTTATGCTAACATGCACAAAAATGTTACAAGCTGAAGGAAAAGACAGGGTATCATTACTTAACTTTTGGCTAAAAGATCTTTATTTCATTACTATTTTAACTGTCATAAAGATTCTGCTCTTCTCTAACCTATAAGAAATCAGGAGGAAAAAAAAAAAAGCTTGTCCACTATTTCCTTCTCCTTATCTAATTAATATTTTTCATCTTAAGAAATATAATTAATAATCAGTAACAAACAGCCATCAGTCCCACAAGCACTCAAAGAAATATTTCAACAACACACAGAGAAACAAATGTGGAAGTACACTGATATATTTATGGCATGCAAAAAAAATTAACTGCCAGCTACAATGCACTTTGAGAAAAATCAATACAAACCAGTTAGGCTGCTGTTCTGGCACAAGATTTGGCATAAGCAACTTCCCAGTCTGTTTGCAGAACAGATCTCCCCTTACTAGAAACTGAGCTGGGCAAGAAGGTGAAACCAACATGTTTGCACTTTAACAGAAATGTTCTAAGTTACTTATAACTACAGAGGGCCAACATCAAGGTTTCTTATCATTCATGCCAAATAAAAGACTGCATTTTATTTAAGAAGTTTAATTACACAGAACTTACACAAGTTCAATTTCATAAGGAATTGTAGCTGCAAGGAATTCCTGACTTTTCCAGCAGAAATTGATACATGAAACAGAATTAATTCCTTCTATTCTACATACACAATTACAGGAAAGACTGCTTTCTAGTCCCTATTTTCCCACCTGTATAACAAGAATGGTATTTTCCTGTCAAGAAGTACTTTAAAGCTAAACTGGTAACATCCCTGAACTGCAGGATTAATTCCTGAAAGACAATGCAAAGCACACTGAATTGCTATCTTGTCATTACAGGACCAACTCTACTATGCCCAAAACTTACAGTGAATTTTGCCCTTTCCTCCATCACCTCATAGCCCAGAATAGTAGGTGTGGATGGTCGATCTTCCCAGGTCCTGGAATCTTCATTCTGCTCTATTTCTTCTACAGGCTGAGTACTGTACTCTATGGATGTATCCAGACCTGTAAATTTAGTCCTAACAAGGGGACTGCTACACGCAGATGACGTGGAACCAATCTGGTCAGGCACACTCATCTTTTTAAAACCATCAACCGTAGAGTCCTCCAGCTGTCCTTTCGAGGAGCTCGAACTTGTTGAAATGCTCCCAAAGGAAGAACTTCTTTGGTTTCTGTTTGTAAAGCTGGATGATGAACTTCCAATAGGAATAGGAACAGGAACATATGGTGTTGCCATCCTTCATGAAAACAAGCTCTCAGTTTTTGGTCCAGGAATTTAAGCTTCATTCGCTGTGTAAACCATGTTTGCTCTTGTTTTCAGGAACAGTACCTGCAATTAAGGACAGAAAACACTGCTGTCATTTTGAAATCAAAGCACCACTAAGAGCTTTGGGAAAGAATCTGTATTAGCTCTGAGATGGTACATAGCAGTATTGATGGTAAAACACTTTCACAAAGAATCTGGCTTATATAAAATGGTGCTTTTAGGTTATATCTCACCCATTTGACAGACAGCTTTACAGGAGTTCTGTCTTCCACAGCTATTGAAATGGCAAAGAGGTAAAGCAAGATTACAAAACAGAAAAATCATTTTGTCCTTTAAGAATTAAGTGTTATTTGGTTTTATCCAAAGAGTCAGCAATTTTTCTGGCATACAAGAAGTAGTTGTTCCAGTGACTGTTTCATCTAAGCAGTACAGAAGGTTTTCTCAGAATTGGTTCTGTAAGACATCCACTGCAGACCATGCAAGCCAAACACACAGGCAACAATATACACACCATGAATCCAAAGACATGACAGTAAACAACTTAGGTGAAAACATATTTGCATATTACACATTCACTGAAGTACAGTGGATCTGTTTCCAATGCAAAATATTTTTTCAAAACAACTCTATTGTATATAATGCTGCAGACATTTGTCACAATGTAAAACGTGCACATTTTCTGTAGTCTCAATTGCAGCAATTAAGTTTTACAAGCATGCACAACAGAAGCAGGGTTGTTACAGCAGGTAGTTTTCCATTCCAGAAGATTAAAATGGAAAAAAAAAGGTGTACAGAAAAAAAAGAAATAAAAAATTAGTATTTTTTTCTTCAACAAAAGCATTTCAAATGAGTGTTTTGTGTGCATGTGTATACATTTCTGGAAAAAAAGCAAAGTAAAATTAAGACAGCAGTATGAAACTGCCAAAAAGGCACCATCTCCTCATTTTAACAAAGTACCCAAAGATGAGCTCTTACAAGATGCAAATTAAACACCACCTCTTTGGATTAACAGGATTTGAGCCATGATCCATTTACCCCGGAATAAACTAATCAACCAGGAGGCTGCAGGAAGCTGTGAAATGGGAAACCGCCAACCTGATTCACATCAGACAATCAATCACCTACTGCAGTAAAACCAAATGAGATTCCTCACTGTGAGTATGAAGTGATGCCTCCCCCGTCTTGCTCTAAATTAATACTGGAGCACAGGAATAAAGACATAAATTTTAAATGAACCAGCATGAGGAAGACTGAAAAATTCTCTTGAACAAATTCCTTGAGTAAGGGAAAAACAAACTTAGTCAGCTACATCAGAAAGTTGCCACACACTGCCTGTCAGAAAACTCAGTCAGCTTGACCAGGAGAACAATTTCAAACTGGCAGTCATTTCTTAGGAATATCTCTGCTTCACTGTGGAATGTGGCTGGACACTCAGCAGCATCTGAGGGAGCCGAACTGTCAGTGTCATACACCCCTGCTGACTCACTCAGCTGGTCAGGGATGGGATTTGAAGCATCCAGAGCTTCCCCTGCAGCACAGCCCTGTGCCTGGCTGCGGGAGTGAAGCCACGTGTCAGACATCTGACCTGCCTCAGCCTCACTCCATGTGAGAGAAGCGAGTCACACCTGTCCCGAGACAAGATGTTCTCCTGGAGCTACACCACATCTAAATCCCTTTTTCCACCCACACCTCAGCAAGAAAATCTATCTTCTGCCTCAAACAATAAGCTCTGCAGTAATTTTTCTTTATGCAAGGTGTGAAGCATTGTCTGATAAATTTTCTCTACTAATATTCTCTGAACAATATCTAAATGAAACACTAGAAAAGGTAACTACTTTTTTACTTGCCACTTCAGTGACTCTTCCATAATACCAGCGCAAGGAATTGAGAGCATGCCTTTAAACAATGTCCCTCCCAGCTATGTTATTGGGAGGTATAGGATTAAATTCCTGTAAAAGGAAGAACCTAAGTGAGCCTAGATTGCAAAAAATCAATCTATATGTAAAAAGTGATTATCCTCCGTTGCATGACTGTGAATCTGGAGTGGAAAATAGCCCCCGAGATGTGGGTTTATCTAAGCTAACCTAGGAGTTAATGGAATTTTAAGATACAAAAAACCTTGTGCTGTTCATCACTTCATGAAAAGAACCAAACCAAACCTAAAACCCTACAATGACATTTTCATCAGTTACAATAGTTGTGAACAATCTTTCCTAGAAGAACTTCTTCATTTCAAGTGAGATGCCAGTCAAGAACTCACTACCTTGAGCTTGATACTTACTACACATTACTCTGAACTGCACACAAATTTCTGAGCAGCTGCACCAATGTGGCAAGCAAGAGAGCTCAACACAGCCCACCCTGAGGATAAAGTCCTTGGTGTGGAGAGGCCAACACCTGCACCGTGTGTGCTTCAGCAGCTTCCATTCCAGACCAGCTCTAACTCGGTACCAGGCCTGGATACTTATTAGCAGCTGTTCTACACTAAGCCTGCTCCCAGGGTACATTTTCTGGTTTAGCCTCTTTTGTTCTCTGCAAGGCCACCCCAAATTGTGAGTCAATAAGTATTTAAGGTGATGATGACATTGTTTTCTTCTAAAGGCCATTCTTGACTCAATCTGACACAGTAAACATGCCCACAGAAAAATAAAAGGGGCTGATGCTACCTGTGTCACACACAGATTCCTCTAACTTTAAAAAGTAACAGGAAAGTATTCTCTGAGTAACAGAAATGTCAGGTCAAGTGAGCAAACAGCACACAGCTTCACTTAACTTGAATATTGTTTTGTAAAAAAATTGAAAGAAATATACAAAAATATTACCAGACTCACTAACACATTTCCAAATACATACAATACATACATAAATCCAACTGTAGAAGTATCACAATTTCCTAGTATGTAAAATACTTACAACAAGGTGCAAAATCAAATCAATCTGCACTTTATGAAGGCTACTAAATACTAGAAGAAAATACAATGCTCAAACAAGAGTCATAGCCCTAGGAACCCAGCCTTACCTACTAATATAGTTTACAGCCAATTCATGCAATAGAAGGAACTGAGAACAATTTCATTTAAAAAAAAGAATCCTTTTAGACAAACCAAGTCACTCCCTACTTACCTCGGTGCAGCAAGGAGGGTTTATGGGCTCAGTTTGCTCTTACCCCAGCCTCACAGAACCAGCAGAATCATTGCAGCACACCAACTTTAACAGCAAACTCCTCATAACACCTAAGAGATACCCCAGACACTGCACTTTCTTGTCTAGCTATTTACTTGACTTTCTGCAAGAAATTTGCTTCCTGTTTGGGACATGTATTTTGTTTAGTTTGATTCCCAAGTGCGAGTTAAGAAGGAAAAGAGAAGGAAGAGAACTTTTGCTGGAAGGGCTGAACTGCAGGATCTGAAACAGGATAGGACAGTCCCGGGAACGCGGCCGTCACATGCTACAAGAGCAGCACGACACCGACTTATCCCGGTGTTTACAGCAGCCGCCTCCCTTTCTGCGGGAGAGGCAAATAGGCTGTAATAAAACCACTTAAAAAGGGTTTGCCTGCAGCTTGCAGCTATCGCAGATCCAAACCATTTTAAACTAATGGCTTGCATATTCAGTGAGAAAGATGTAAGCCACACGATTCCAGGATAAAAGATTAGAAACAAAACAATCCGTACTTAACAGCTGTAATTGGATTTATAAGACTTTTAGCTATGCAATACTATGTGTGATCCGGTTACATATATTCTGCCTCTGTTTGGGCAACGCAGACAAGCTGATCTCTGATGTTTAGGGTTTAAGTGCTACTGAGGAAAGTCAGCTAGAGAACGAGTGGAATATATAAACAAACTTCCAGACTTAGGTTTCATGATTTTGTAAAATAATCATTTTGTGCCGATTTCAGCCAAATTACCTAACAGCATTTTTTACCTGCTTATGAACCCAAAATGGGGGAGCTATTTATCACCCTTCACACACAGAGCAGTAACTCCTGCCCCGCAGAGTCTGTTACGGAACTGGAAACAGCCGCGGGTACCTCGCAGCAAACCCGCACGTCGGGAAGCGCCGCTTCTGGCGGTTCTGAACCCGAGCACACCCAAGCCAGACCGGCCGGCACCGCCGGGGCAGCGCCCGGCCCGGCCCGGCCCCGCCGCCGAGGGGCCGCGCTCGGGGAGCGCCGCCGCTGCCGCTTTACGTAACTCCAGGGGCGGCTCCGAGCCCGTGACACCGGCAGGCCGGGGAAACCCTCCCGGTGTCTCCGCACGGCTGCGGGAACCGGCCGAGGAAACACCTGGAGGCGCGGCCAGGCCCCGCCCCGGGGAACGGGGGGTTCCGTAGCCGCCGTCCCGCCCGAGCGGGACCGGACCCCGCGGTGCCACCGCCCGCCGCCGCCTCCCACAGGTGCGCGGGAGCTGCGACAGCTGCGCGGAGGCGGCGGGGGCCGTTCTCGTCCGGCGCGGGACGGACAGCGGCGAGGTTCCACTTCCCCGGCCTTCCCGCACGGGCTGCCCACTGCCTCAGGCCCTCCCTGCCCGCTCCCCTGATTCCCAGTGCCGGCGCTCCCGCCCGCCCGCACGGCGGCCCCGCTCACCTGCTCCCGCCGCGCGCGCCCCGCTCCGCCGCGCCACCGCCGGGCCCGCCCCGCGCGGGGGGCGGAGCAGGGGGCGGGGCCTGCCCAGAGCGGCGGGAGGGGTGGGGCCGCGCAGGGACTACAAAGACCGGCGTGCCCCACCAGCTAACGTGAGCGTCATTTTTCTGTGTCTGGGCGCGATGCATTATGGGGCTTGTAGTTCTGCATGTGGCGGTGTGGTCCTGCGGGGTGCGACCGCCCCCTGAGGGTGGCAGCGCTGCCGTGCTGGGAGGGAAGGAGCGTTAGGCCTGGGGGTCTCCGCATTCCCGATTCCTGGGCAAAGGAAAGTCCCTGGCTTCTGCCAAAGGGCACAGGAAAGCCAAAGCCTCTGCGGGTTCTGAATGTGGTTTTACCTGGCCCTGCCATAAAGCCCCGCTGAACCGCGGGTTGCAGGTGCAGGGCAGTGCGACAGGAGTGGTTGAGGAGCGCCGTGTGAAATTTCACGGATCGAAGGGATTTGGGAATTTTCTGGGTGATGGGAGGTGGGAAGCACTGTTCGTAAATAGCGGTGGGAATAAATCAGTATCTCACAGTGACTTAGGGTGGGAATGGATCAGTTCTCTCGCAGTGACTTAGGCTGGGAATAAATCAGTACCTCACAGTGACTTGGGGTGCCTTAGCAGCAGTGCGGTGCTGTGGAGAAGAGGAACACAGCACAATTTATGTTAAAAAGTACTCTGTCTTCCTGCGTTTTACATTCTTTATACATGATTTAGGAATGCAATACCCGCTCCCTGAGATCTCTCCTGTGGTCATGGCTCTGGAAAACATTGCACCTCTCGTTTGTACTGCACAACTCCTCTGCTTGTTTATCATAAACTCAACACCTTTGGCATGGCACGGGCACGCAAATGAGAGTAGAGCAGCTGAAAGGGGATCCGGGCTGTGCCTGCAAACACGACAGCCCTGGGGCATTGCCCATTGCCCAGGGTAATTACTGCCCTGGGGGCCAATGTTACCACCGTAGTGTGAGTCTTTCCTTGGGATTATATTCTTAGGATGTTAATGAATTTTTTTTCTGTGCTTAGTGGTTTTTTTTGGGGTTTTTTTCCCCTGCTCTGTCATGTTATTTCAGCCCCACTTTGGGCTGTCTGGAATTAATTTTGAACTTAGTGGTTTTTCTGGATGCTAGTCTTTCCGGAAGTAGTCTCAGATTTGGCAGGGTAGCTCGTATTCCTCATGAATAGAATTAATACATTCAAAAAGCATTTGTGAATGACTAGTTCAGAAGCGATGCAGTGGGGAACTTTTTTGGATCTTATTCTATTTTAAATATGTAGTACTGATAAGAGACAATGCACTAGGTTTTAAAATGCGGTATTAAATCTGAGGAATTTGATTAAATTGTATTTTGAAAATTGCACTACCAAACCAAATATACTAAGTACATAATAACTTTAAACTTTGTTTCACTCAGGATGACAATATTCCTTAACATAGAGCAGCAAAAAAAAGAAAAAAAAGTTAGAAACAAGAGAATTCTAATTTCCAGTTGTTCAGAACACTTTTGTTTTATAGTAGTCAATAGTGTCTGATCATTGCAATAATTTAGTTGCATATGAATGTTTGAATTTATTTAACTAAAGAGTTACTTATTAAGTTTGATACCTGTATGAAGCTCCTTTTATTAAAAAAATGAATTTTTTTTCACATCTAGAATCATTTGATAGTTAAAAGTGCACGTTTTTCAGCTTGCTAGTCTGCTTTCTTAACAGTTTGTGACATTGTTTTATTGTAGAGGTTAACACCAATTTTTTTATTGTTTTATTGTGGAGGTTACCACCAAATTTTTACCAGCCCCGAGGTGCTAGTGAGGTCAGTTTCCAGTTTCACTGTCGAGCGGACAGGATTCCTATCCCATGCCCTTTGAAGAGAACAAGATCTGTTTAGTCACAGTGAGCAGGTATAGGAACGAGGCGTGAGGCTGACTCGTTTTGGCCATTTGGACATTCCAAGGAAGTCAGTGGGACTTCTGGCTGCTGAGGAATGTGGGCTCATTGCCTTCGCGTCACACGGTTCTGTCCGCTCGCAAAATCATCAGGGATGATTGTTGGCTCACTGACGGGAGAGAAGCTGTGCGGGGCTAAGGTGAATTAAAATTGGGTCTGTGCTCTTCCTGGTTTTCTCTTTGTAGTTGCTTTTCCTGTGTGCTCGGTCTGTGGCAATCAGGCTTGGAGAAAGAGCGGCTTTGCCCCGGCTGCTTGTGTCAGCAGAAAGGGCTGAGACTCCATCGCAGGCGTGATGAGCCACCCTGTGGCAATACCCTGCAATTGATGCGAGAGGACGACAAAACTAGTTCCTGAATGTGTAAAACAGTGTAAAGTATTTCCTAGCTTTTTTTTTTTTTGGCATATATTGGTTCCAGCTGTCATGTGTGTTCTGCTTCCGTTTGCTAGTTCTTTATTTTTCCAAAGGATTGTTGTATATATATATTATAGGCCTGATCAAAATCTGTGCAGCCGTTGTAATCCTGTGTGCCAAACCCATGATTTTTGCTCATGCTGGCTGGCTCAGTAGCTTAATTTAACCTTGGACTTGCAGAATTAGGAAAGCCTATTAATGTAAGTCAACTTTATGCAACCTCTGTGAACTTCCTAGCACTTTCTCTGCTGGGAAGGAGAATGCAGGATCTGCTAATTGTGTAACAGGTAGTTCAGCAATGCCACCTTCTGTTGTAAAAGAATAAAACCCAAGAAAATAATCCTATATGTGAGAACGGTGAAATAATCTTATTGAATTGAATGCAGCTTCTCTTGTTCTAGTTCAGTCATAATGTGGTATGTTTTCAAAGCCCCACCTGCCTCCATGATCCTGTGAAACACTGAGGGTAGACTTTCAATCAGGTTATGGGATTTAGGTACTCAGATTTAATTGCACTTCAATTGGATGTAGGCACCTAAATTCCATTGTAGTTTAGAATGCATGCATTCAATCCCATTATATTCCAGTGAGATTTGGACCTTAGTCTGTAAGGATACTGTGAAATCTGTGACTTGGAGGATATTTGTTTTGTGACAAAACAGCCAATTTTCTTTCTCAGCTGTAGAGCCTTCAGTGCTAGAAGTGATGGAGCTTCTTCTAAAGGCAATTTTAAAATTCCTTCCAAATTCTAAAAACTGTGCAATTTTAGAAATGTACAGCTGGATGTTTTAAAAGACTTAAGCATTGAAACTGGGAATTTTGTACTAGCAGAAATTTCATGTGGGCATCCAGATCCTAAGTTGTGATCCTTGTAATTACTTTCAGCAGTTGCCCTGCCATTGTAATGTCTCCACTTCAGAGGGGGTGTATCAGTGTGCGTGGACGTTGTATTTTAATACTTCCTGTGCCTGTTTGATATCAGCACATGTTCAGAAGGACTCTGGTTTTTGAAAAGCTCAAAAACCGTGACCTTTTTCACACATCCTTTGAGAGCTCCTGTCCTTGGGAGGTTGTAATACACCATTTCAGATATCCAGAAAAGACTTGGGGAGAGGTAAGAGACAGGATTTGGATTCCATTGTGGGCTGGTTCTTTGCAGGTTTGGTTTGCCTCTCTGTGATTCACTGCTCTGTAGCTGACTGTGTTCAAGTTTCCTTTGAAATCCTTGTGGGGCACCTTGCCTGTGCAGTGTGGGCTCCTGGAAGCCTGCAGTCCTTGTTCAGAGTTTAAAGTAGCATGCTGAGGACTGGGCTTTCCCAAAGTCCATTTTTATTAGCTGTAGATCTTTATGGTCTCTAGCTTAGGTTTTGAATTTCAGACTTGACCCCTGACCATGACTTCAGGTGTGGGAGACTGACTGCCTCTATGGCACCCCACTGATTACTCCCACCCTGGTAACACCTGTGTAGTATCTTGTGATGCTTGTCATTTACCTTACTCATTATGTCCTGCTACACCTAAATCGGTTTCAATGTGGTATAATGATAGTGATCCCATTATGGAATAAAGGTAGACTTGATTGGCTTTTTGTGGAATAATGGGTTCAGCTGCTGTGTATTAGTCTGGGCAATTCACTGAATTATGAATGGGACTTAACAGTTTTCTGTTCAGGTGTGCCTGCTGTGCTTCTCGCTTAGATGGGAGTCCTCAAGTAAGAAAGCAAAAGCCTCTAAGGAGTTAAAAAATTCTGCCTGCCAGAGGCTAAGTCTACTTTGAATTATAAGGAATATTTCTCTCAGGGATTGCATCTGGATAGAGAAACTCATGGATGTTATGGCCAGAATTTTCAGACAAATGAACTATAAATGTGAACTTTAAAATCATTTGAGTTATAACATTTGGTTCTGGCCAGTAGCAGTTATGGAAATTACTAGAAAATTGTGTCCTTCTCTCTTCCTTCTCATCCTTACCATTAGCATTTTTGGCCCCTGTCCTGGCTGGGTATATCTTGCTTCAGCTTTAAAATGCACAAGTAGTTCTGATCACCAACAGCTCATAATGAT